TTTAACTATTTTTTTCTCTCATCTGGAAGGATTTTTATTAAGAGGTGGTACAGTTTTCTTGTTTGTTTGTTTTGTTTTGTTTTTGAGGAAGGGTCTCACTCTGTAGTTTAGACTGCTCTGGAACTCACTGAGTAGCCCAGGCTGGTCTTGAACTCTCAGTGATCCTCCTGCCTCAGCCTCCCGAGTGCTGGGATTACAGGCGTGTGCCACCACGCCTGGCAAGAGGTGGTACAGTTCAAACCAAGACAGACAACAATATGTCTTCATGTACACCAGATTTGTACAGTTCACTTTTAAGTTACATAAATTATTAGTAGTAATTAATGCTTGTTCCTTAATGTCTATAATTATCCTGTCCACTTAAGGAGCAACACAAGCTCCCTTAAACTCTTCGAAATAAGATTCAGCACCATTTCTTACAATGTGTTGAATCAGGAAAGGTCTTGTTTTGACTATTACTGCTTCCATAGAGAGCTGTCTAGAAGATGTCTGGTGAGTTTAGATGATCTTTTTGGCAAAAAAAGAACTAAAGAGAAAATGTTTTAAAGTACGTATTTGTGCATCTGCTTAATTAGAAATAAATCTACTATGATGTTATCTCAAAACTACCCTAACTGGTCAGCAGTACAAATTTCAGATCCTGAACATATTTGATGCTATGTCATAGTTGTAAATGTCAAATTTCTATCAGGATACAGTAACGGCTTCTAAACATACAAATTTATTAAACAACAACAACAACAATTTCAAAGAGATTTTATTTTTGACAAATATTATGAAACTGGCAAGCTCGAGGTGCTGGGTCACTCAGCTTGCTGGGCAGGAGTAGGCAGATCTGGGAATTGCCCTCCTGTAAGCTTGCTGTGCATCCCAACCCATTCTGTTCTCTGAATGTAGCCACCCAAATGCCCGAATTACCCAGCCTGGGTTGAGGCATGCCTGCTGGGTCTCCACAGGAGGAGACAGGAAGTGCTGCCTAAAGATCCTGCCTGTGCTGCAGTGCCTGGTCCTAGAAATGCATACTTGTTCTCTGCAGATGGTCCTGGGAGGGGCAGAGGGCTGGACTCTCACCAGCAGCCTTTCTGAGTCACCCTAGCTCTACCTAGACCACACACCTGGGTGTCACAGCAGCCCCCCAGGGACCACCCTCCTCTCCCCTCTTCCAGGTCACCTGCCCCTTAGGGCGAATGAGCAAGCCAGATCCCATGGTGCAGGGCTTGGAAGCCTTCTGTGAGCTCCAGCTGACTCCTGCCCTTTTCTCTGTCTAGGGCCCCAGCCTGGGCTGAAACCTCTCAGTGTAGCCCCAGTGACAGCACCACTGCCTGTCCTTTACTTGTCCTTCTGGACAGGAGCACAGGTGTGCCTTGGCGGTGTGAGTGGAGCCAGGCCTCCCAAGCTCAAGCCCAAGCCCTGCTCTGTCATGCCTTCCGGCTGTGGCCACCCTAATGCAGGAAAGGGAGCAGTTCCCTTCAGGAACCTTCCAGGTAGGGTCAGAATCTCTAAAATAAGATCCCGAAGAATATAAGATTGAACCATAAAAAGAGAAGTTTTACTGATGTTTTAGGAAGGATTATAGAATTACTCAAGAAAGCTTAAATGACAAAACAGCACCAATGTTAAACACATTTATTTTCCCTGAGATTCTAGTCCACAAACAATACACAGACTACTGAAGAGTGCTTTTCAAGCACTACTGTACAACTGGATCAGCTGGATGCTTGCTACAGGGTCCCTGGAATCTGTGGGGGGCTGAGCATCCCCCTAAATGCTCATGATTGAAGAGTGCTTTTCAAGCACTACTGTACAACTGGATCAGCTGGATGCTTGCTACAGGGTCCCTAGGAATCTGTGGGGGGCTGAGCATCCCCCTAAATGCTCATGTGGTAACCAGTCATCCTGTGAGCAGCAGGACACTGGACAACGTGGAGGACTGCGAGAGACACTTACTAAGAAGAACACCATGTAACAGAATGCTAAAGTCACCAGTGCACAGCAACAGCAATGTTTTTATACTAAGATCCATCTTTGGTTTTCAATATTTCCATATGCCTGGTCAATTAATAAAGCCTCATTAAATTCACAGGCTTTAACTTCAAAAATAAAAAGTGCTGTAATCTTAAAAATAAAACATGGCCATATTTAAGAACTTTTAAGAAACTCAGGTATTTCTAAGAGTGAGAGAAAATCAATCTTTGCAGAAACTCCTGAATTTCTATTTCATTGCATAAACCCCAAATTTCTGTCCATTTGAGTCTAATCTCCATGACACTTGGCATGTTCCCAAGAGCAAGGCCATTTATACCAAATGTAGTTCTCTCAGCATGTAGCTTTTGTAGGAAAGTTCACATTGTTATATCTATAATAAAAAGTTCTTGTTTCTTGTAGCCAGGTAGGAAAATGGACAATCTTGAAATTAAAACATAGTTCTAATGGTTATAAATATTTAAGTTTACCCCATACATGCAATTTCTAAAACTATGGAATTTACAAACAATAAATATTAATCTTGCAACAAATTAGTGTAATAAAATTTCAGTTACAATCATATGTCATGTGCATTTGATTGGAGATGGGAAGAATATATTAGTGGACTAATTAAGAGGATCAAAAGGAAGATGGACCTCAGAAGTTTGTGAGGAAAGGGATCTTTGTCATTTCTAGTGGTATCAACGTAACCCCAATGGTCAGTGTGCTCAGTCTGTGCCTCCCTGAGTTGGCACAGACTTTTCTTAGGGCCTGGCCCTGGCCCTGGGTCCCTGGGTGCTGCTAATGAAAGGGAAGTTTTGAGAAGGTCTAGGAAAATGTATGCCTAACATTCCTTGTGGCTCAATGTGGCTCTTTCTGGGCACAAAATTAAAATGAAGTAAAGGATGCGACTTTGAACACGAACCTTATGTAACCCTGCTTCTCCTATATGGCATGTCATGGACCCTTAATCTGCATAAAAATGCTCATTTTGGGATTTTTTTGGAGGTGAGGTAATGGGGATTGAACTCAGAGCATCGGCTCTTTTGAGACAGGATCTCACTAATTGTCCAGGCTGGGATCAAACTTGCAATCTTCCTGCTTCAGTATCTCTGAGGGCTGGATTACAGGTGTATACTCCCAGACCTGGCTTTGCCGCCTGGATTAATCCAGCAGCTTCTTTGGATTGTCACAGCAAGGAGCTCCAGGTGACCAGCGTGTCCCTAATGTGCTGGTCTAATCCTTGGTGGGGACGTGCTCATAGCTTCTTCCCTCTTACCATACATAGCGATCCATGGTTCCGCTACCATTCCCTCTCCTATAGCTAGGAATTTTTCTTAACCTGGAAGTTTTAACTTATCATTTGGTCCAAAGAGAATATTTCAGGTAAACAATGCACATGGTCCCTCTTGGCAAAGCTCTGCTCCAATCCTAACTTTCCAATTGTCCCTGTGACTTCCAATTGTCCCATAAACATAAGTGCATGGCCGCAGAGCATGCCCGCATGCAAATGACTCACTTACACACTTGACTCTTTCCATTACTTCCTTTCTCATTATGGCCACTGACCCTGATTGAACACTACCAATTGTCCAAGTGTGTCCTACTCACTCTTTACCTTCCTACTCTGAGGGCCCCTGGAGTGAGATTTGTTGAGTGACATTATAAGAACAGCCACCAAGGCTAAGGCAGCCCCCAGACTGGGAGGCCCCCGGGGGCTGACCTCCTGCACCACTCCTGAGAGGAGAGGGGCAATGATGCGGGCTACAGCAGTCACTGATTGTCCCACACCGATGACAGCACCGCTG